TCTGTGACCTCATAATGAGAGCTATTATGGTAGGAAGATCCAAGAGGAGGCCTTTGAAACTGCCTCCACGTACAAACATAGAAAACCAAAAACAGAATCATATTCCTGGAGGGACTGCAGTGATTGGCGCCACCATCAAGGACTTGAAAGATGCCAGGAGGCAAACTTGCCAATTTTTCCTCTTCAAAAGATAGATGGATCTTGGTGAATGACGGTGGACTATTGTAAACTCAATCAGGTGATGACTCCAATTGCAGCTGTTGTTTCAGATGTGGTTTTATAGCTAATCAATATATCCCCTGGCACCTTGTATGCATATTGATCTGGTGAATGCTTTTTTCTCTAATCCTGTTCATCAAGAGTATTAGAAGTAGTTTACTTTCAGATGGCAAAGCCAGGACTTCGCCTTCAGTGTCCTACTTCAAGCATATACCTACCCTCTGGCACAAAGTAATAATCTAGTTTCAAGGGACCTTGAATGCATTTCCCTATTACACTGGCCTATTACACTGATTATATTATGCTGATTGGATCTGGTGAGCAGGAAGGAGTGACTAACCTAGATACATACATTGGCAATATACTTGCATGCCAGAGAGAGGGAAATAAATCCCACAGAAATTCAGGGGCCTTCCATTTTACTAAAATTTGTAGGAGCCTAGTGGTCTGAAGCATGTCAAGATATCTTTCCAAGGTAAAGTAAAAGTTGTTGCATTTAGCCCCTTAAGAGGGACCACTAAGAAAGGGACAGAAAGCCTAGTAGGCCTTTTCGGATTTTGGAAGTAACATACATCTTATTTGGGTGTGCTACTCTGACCTATTTACTGAGTAAACAGAAAAGCTATCAGCTTTGAGTAGGGCTCAAGACAAGAGATGACTAGCAGATCCAGACTGCTGTGTGAGTTTCTCTGCCACTCTGCCATGACCCAGCAGATATGACTGTGCTTGAAGTGTCAGCGGCAGATAGGGATGCTGTGTGAAGCCGCTGGCAAGCTGCTGTTGGTGAATCACAGTGCAGACCCTCAGGATTTTAGAGCAAAACTATGCCATCCTCTGTGTATAATAACTTCTCTTTTGAAAAACGCCTTGGAACAGAATAGAAAACCCACGTAAGTATGTCCAGATGAATTTTTTTTGTAAAGGTGCGAAAACGATTCAATGGAGGAGCAACAGTATTTTCAACAAATGGTGCAGGAGTGATATACATAGACAAAAATAAAAATAAAAAATAAACCTTGACCTAAACCTCACACATTTGTCCAAAAAGTAACTAAAAATGGATCACATACTTAAATGTAAAATTGGAACACTTGGGTTGCTTGCACACTTGGGGTTGATTTTACCCAACTGTCCATTGACAGATGAATGGATAAATAAAATATGGTCTATTCACACAGTGGAGTATTATTCATAAAAGTATGGAAGTTCTGGCACATGCTATACCTGGACGACCCTTGAGAACATCATGCTAAGTGAAATCAGCCAGTCACAAAAGGATAATACCATATAACTGCACTTATGTGAGGTACCTAAAGTAGTTAAACTCATAGACACAGAAGGTAGAATGTTGGTTGCCAGGGCTGGGGGAGAGGGGAATGAGGAGTTATTATTTAATGGGTACAGTTTCAGTTTTGAAAGATAAAAGCCTTCTGTGGATAGATGATGGTGATGGTAGCACAACAACATGAATGTACTTAATGCCACTGAACAGTACACTTAAAAATGATTAAGATGGCGATTTTTAAGTTATATGTATTTTACACAATTTAAAAATTTCTGGCTGGGCATGGTGGCACCCAGCACTTTAGTAGGAGGCTGAGGCAGGTGGATTGCTTGAGGTCAGGAGTTTGAGACCAGCCTGGCCAACATGGTGAAACACTGTCTCTACAAAAATACAAAATTTATCTGGGAATGGTGGCACAGACCTGTAATCCAAGCTACTCAGGAGACTGAGGCAGGATAATTGCTTGAACCTGGGAGGGGGAGTTTGCAGTGAGCCGAGATCACGCTACTGCACTCCAACCTGAGTGACAGAGTGAGACCCTGTCTTAAAAAAATAAAAATAAAATTTCTAAATATCAAAAAATCACATACATGAATGTTCATGGCAGCTTTGTTTGAAATAGTTAATAACTAGAGACAGGCTGGCCATGGTGGTTCACGCCTGTAATTCTAGGACTTTAGGAGGCTGAGGTGGGTGGATCACTTGAGGCTAGGAATTTGAGACCAGCCTGGCCAACATGGTAAAACCCCATGTCTACTAAAAATACAAAAAATTAGCTGAGTATAGTGGCACACACCTGTAATCCCAGCTACTGGGGAGGCTGAGGCACGAGAATCACCTGAACCCAGGAGACAGAGGTTGCAGTGAGCCGAGACTGTGCCTGCCACTGCACTCCAGCCTGGGCAACAGAGCGAGATTCTGTCTTAAAAAGAAAGAAAAGTAAAAAAAAAAAGAAAAGAAATAATTTGAGACAAACTAAATATCCTACAATGGGTGAATTATTAAATAAATGGTAGTACCATAGAATACTACTCAGCAAGGTAAAGGAAGAACCTATTGGTATATGGAACAACTTGGATAGACGTCAAGGGTATTATGCTGAGTGAAAAAAAAAGCTAGTCTTATAAGATCCTGTATTATATGATTCCATTTATGTAATGTTCTCGAAATGATAAAATTATAGAGATTAGAAATATTAGTGGTTGCCAAAGGTTAGAGATGGTGGAGGAGAGAAGAAAAGAGGGGGTGGGTTTGACTCAAAGGCAGGAGCACAAGTGATCTTGGAGATAGAACAATTCTGTAACTCAATTGTGCTGGTTACAGAAATCTACATGTGACAGAATTGCATAGAACTACACACACACACATACACACACACACACACACACACACACAAACGAGTGCATGTAAAACTCATAAAATCTAAATAAACTCTATGGATTGTACTATTATTAGCTTCCTGGTTTTGACGTTGTACTATAGTGATGTAAGATGTTACTACTTGGGAAAACTGAGTAAAGGATACACAGGACCTCTCTGTACTGTTTTTGCAACTTCCTATCTGTATCTTTGAATCTGTAATTATTTCAAATTTAAAAGTTAGAAACAAACAAATAAGCAATCAAAACCAAATTTGCTTTGGGCCTTAACAGAGTCTGAAGGCTTGACCATTGACCAGCAACTTATCATGCAATTTAAGTTGCTCATCATGAACTGGCTGTTGTCTGATCACCGAGCCATAAAGTTGCGTATGTACAGCAACATTCCATCATCAAACGGACGTGGTACATATGAAATTGAACTGCAGCAGGTTCTAAGTGTGCAAGCAATTGTGTGTCTTACCCATGTCCATAGCCCCTACTATTGCTATATTACCTTCTCTCAACCCCTACCCACAGCTTCATTAGGAATTACCTATGACCAGCTGCCTAAAGAAGAAAACCCTTGGACTTGGTTTACACGTGGTTCTGCATGATCTGCAGGTATCACCTGAACATGGACAACTGCAGTGCTGCAATTCCACTCTGGGATGGCTCTGAAGGATGGCAGTGATGGGAAATCCTCCCAGTGGGAAGAAGATAAGAGTAGTGTACCTGTTTGTTCATTTTACCTGGTTAGAAGTATAGATCCATACTTTTTCATGAGCAGTGGCTAATGGCTGGATGGTCAGTACTTGAAAGGAAGATAATTAGGAAGTTGGTGACAAGGAGATCTAGGGAACAGGTATGTGAATGGACTTCGGCCCAAAATGTGAAGGTAATTAGTTCCACATGAGTGCTTATCAAAGGGTGACCTCCAAAGAGGATTTTAATGAGATGGATAGAATAACTCATTCTGTGGATGTCAGTCAGCCTCCTTATCCAGACAAATGGACTAGTGAATAAAGGGCTAGGGATGGAGGTTACACATGAGGTCAACATGACTTTCACTTGCTAGGGACAATCTAACTACAGCTCCTGATATGGCACCACTCCTGGGGTCTCAGCCAGCTATGCGGTTGAAAGTTAATTACATTGGACCATGGAAAGGGCGGCACTTTGTTCTCACTGGAATAGACACTTAAGATATGGATTTGCCATTGCTGCCCACAGTGCTTCTGCCAAAACAACTAACCTTGGACTTAATACTTTATCATTTCACACACTGTTGCCTCTGACTTAAGAACTCACTCCGCAGCAAATGAAGTGTGGCAGTAGGTCCTTGCTCATGGAATTAGCTGGTCTTACCATGTTCCCAATTATCCTGAAGCAGTTGGCTTTACACATGGGTGTAATCAATCTCTTTTCTCTTAATTTGGCCAACTCAAGATGTAAAAGGTCTTTTGAAAATGGTGTGCATCAGAATAGCCTGGAGTGAAATAAATTGTCTATTTTAGCAGAGAAAATGGGAAAAGAATAGAGGAAAACAACTGTGTTCCTCTTGACAATTTTTAACTCTAGCTTGTCAGTATTTTCACTCTTCTGTATGTTTGAAAATTTTTATGCTAGACTTGAAAACCAGACGCTTGTCTGAGCAGGCTACCCTCTTACAAGGCATTGTGCCCTTCCTTCTGTGTTGCAGGTGTCTGGGTCACTCGGGTAGGCGTAGATGGTATAGAGGCAATTTAAAAAACAAAAAACAAAAAACAACCATGGCCCAGGGCTGAGATATGCATGTGCGACCAAACGTTAGAATCCATATGAATCCACAAGAGTGCTGATATGCAGGTCATTTAAGTGCTTAATCTAATGAAACTCAAACCTTTACTGGAGTTGGGAATGAGCACTTTCTCTACACTCCTTGTCTTATTCATCCCTTGGATCCTCATTGCACTTGGACCCTCCCTTTCCGTGCTCCTATGAATCTCGCCGGGGTCCGCAGTGCCACTTCGGGTAAGCCCACGGTCCCCCGCCAGCTGACCTCTCCGGAGCCCCTGAAAGAGCAGCCAAATTCACCTAGCCGGTTCCGCCCTCTTTCGGGCGCTAGCTTAGCCCGCCCACGCCAGACCGCTGGTCCAAGCCCCGCCCTCGGGTCCTAACGCGAGGCCCCCGCGGGGCTGTCCGCGGCCGTGCCGGGCTCCACCTGCAGTGTAGCCGGTCCGGACAGTCCTCCCCCCGGCCTGCGCTGCGGTGTAGACTCAGGCTTCGGGAATTCAGCTGCGGGCCGAGGCCCACCGTTTGATGAGGAGCAGTCGCGGTAGGCGGTGGGCAAGGCTGCCCTGGGCGCAGGCCAAGTCGCGGCTCGGGCTCCAGCATGGCGACGGCGGTGCGCGCTGCGGGCTGCCTCCCTGCGCTATGCACCCTGACGGCGGGTGAGAGCTGGGACGCCGGGAGCAGGGGCTGTCAGCGGGCGGGGAGGTGGTGGTTCGCCTGGGGCCTGCAGAAGCCTGGGCGGAGGGAAGCGAGAAGCCGTGGCCCGGTACTTCACGCCATGCTCCCACCCTATGCAGACCCGCTGTGTGACCTTGCCCGCGTCCTCTCCTTCTCTGGGTCGCGGAGCTCTTGTCTGTAAAATGAGGGGGAACTGGACGTCGTTCTCCAGGGTTCTTTCCTTCGCGAAACCGCTTGATCGTGCTTGGCAAAGAGGAGCGGGAACTGGCCAGTATCGCCTTTGGGGTGCGCGCGACCCCCGGTTTCATTTGGTAATGTCGGGGTGGGCTTGCCCTCCAGCATTACGCTCCATGATAGACTTGCATTTTCTGTTTGCGCAGTATATATATATATATTTTAGACAGTCTCGCTCTGTCGCCAGGCGCCAGGCTGGAGTGCCGTGGCGCCATCTCGGCTCACTGCAACCTGCGCCTCCCGCGCGCCCAAGCAATTCTCTTGCCTCAGCTTCCCAAGTAGCTGGGACTGCAGGCGCGTGCCACCACGCCTAGCTAATTTTTGTATTTTTGAGTAGAGACGGGGTTTCACCGTGTTGGCCAGGATGGTCTCAATCTCTTTTTTTTTTTTTTTTTTTGGGACGGAGTTTCGCTCTTGTTACCCAGGCTGGAGTGCAATGGCGCGATCTCGGCTCACCGCAACCTCCGCCTCCTAGGTTCAGGCAATTCTCCTGCCTCAGCCTCCTGAGTAGCTGGGATTACAGGCACACGCCACCATGCCCAGCTAATTTTTTGTATTTTTAGTAGAGACGGGGTTTCACCGTGTTGACCAGGATGGTCTCGATCTTTTGACCACGTGATCCACTCGCCTCGGCCTCCCAAAGTGCTGGGATTACAGGCTTGAGCCGCCACGCCCGGCCGGTCTCAATCTCTTGACCTCTTTATCTGCTCACCTCGGCCTCCCAAAGTGCTGGGATTACAGGCATGAGCCACCGTGCCCGGCCTTGTTTGCTCAATTTTACTGGAGGTTCACAATCCAGCGATTGTAGTTTCGAAATCTGAAGATCCCTAAAACCCGAATATATATATTTTTAAACTAATTTAGCTGCAGTCTTTGCAGTCATTTGGCAGAAAGTCTGACTAGAACATTCTTTTGTCCATGTTGTTGCAGTCTCCTCCTTTTTCAAGGCCCTGTTCAAATAGCTCCTAGCTGTTGTAGCTTTCCTTCATTTTCCTCACTTTATCTTCACAATGCCTTCGTGAGATAGAGACTGTTACTCCCATTTAACAAATGAGGGGGTTAAGGCACACAGATTCAGAAACTTGCTTAAGGTTAGACTAGGTGGACATCAGATTTGGCACTCACACCACCTGACTCCAAAGCCTGTTTTTTGTTTTTGGTAATAGCCTCCTTGTTGAGATATAATTCACATACCATACAATTAATCCATTTAAAGTGTATGTTTCAATGATTTTTATTATATCACCAGAGCGGTGCAGCCAACATTATCATCACTCCAAAGAGAAAACATGTATCTTAGCCGTCACTCCCCATCTTCCCATTGGCCTCCAGCACAACCACTGATGTACTTTCCCTCTCTTTCTGTAACCTGCCTGTTCTGGACATTTCGTATCCGTAGAATCATGTAATATGTGGTCTTTTGTGACTGACTTCTTTCATTTAGCATAATGTTGTAAAGGTTCATCATTGTAGCATATACCAGTACTTCATCCTTTATGGATGAATAATATTCTATTGTATGAATACCACATTTTGTTTATCTCCTCATCAGTTGAACATTTGGTTTGTTTCCACCTTTTGGCTCTTAGGTCTATTTTGCTAGAAACATTTGTGTGCAATGTTTTTGTAAGTATGTTTTGATTTCTCTTGGGTATATACTTAGGATTGTAATTGCTGGGTCCTATGGAAACTTTATGTTTAATGTTTCTTTCATTCACACCTTCTGTCGCCCAGGCTGGAGTGTAGTGGCACGATCACTACACTCACTACGGCTCCCTGCAGCCTCCATCTAATGGGCTCAAGCGATCTTCTCGCCTCAGCCTCCTGAGTAATTGAGATGACAGGTGCATGCCACCATGCCCAGCTAGTTTTTTGTTACTTTTTGTAGAGAGTGGGTCTCATTATGTTGCCAAGGCTGGCCTCTAACTCTTGAGCTCAGGCCGTTCTCCTGTTTTGACCTCCCAAAGTGCTGGCATTATAGGGTGAGCCACTGTGCTGAGACCTATGTTTAGGTGTTGAGGAACTGCCAAACTGTTTTCCAAAGTAGCTGTACCATTTTACATTCCTAGCAGTATATGAGGCTTCCAGTTTTTCCACATTCTTGCCAGCACTTAATATCTGTCTTTTTGACTATAGCCATCCTAGTGGATGTGGGGTTTTTTTTTTTTTTTTTTTTTTTTTTTTTAATACGGGGTCTCACCCCATTGCCCAGGTAGAAGTGCAGTGGCACAGTCACAGCTCACTGCAGCCTCGACCTTCTGAGCTCAGGTAACCCCTGCCACTTCACTCTACTGAGTAGTTGGGATTACAGATGTGTGCCATCACACCTGGCTAATTAAAAAAATTTTTTTGTAGAGACAGGATTTCACAATGTTGACCAGGCTGGTTTTGAACTCCTGGAAGGCTGGAGCAGTCCTTCCGCCTTGGTCTCCCAAAGTGCTGAGATTACAGGCATGAGCCTCTGTACCTGGCCAGCCCAGTGGATGTGAAGGGGTATCAGTTTGTGGTTTTGATTTGCGTTTCCTTCATGAATAAGCATATTATCATGTGTTAATGGCCATTTGTGTATGTTTTTTGGAGAAATATCTATTGAAATATTTTGCCCACTTTTAAATTGGGTTGTCTTTTTATTGTTGAATTGTAGGTGTTCTTTATATATTCTAGGTATAAGACCCTTATATCTGATAGATGATTTGCAAAATTTTTGTCCCAGTCTGTGTGTTGTCTGTTCACTTTCTTGATAGTATTTTTGAAGCCACAAGTTTTAAATTTTGGTGAAGTCTCATTGATCTATTTTTTTCTTTTTGTTGTTGTGCTTTAGGTGTCTCATCTAAGAAGCCATTGCAAAATCCAAGGTCATGATGATTTACCCCTATGTTTTCTTCTAAAAGTTTCATCGTTTTAGCTCTTACCTATAAGTCTTTTGTTCATTTTGAATTAATTTTTTTGATTTTGAATTTTATTTTCTTTCTTTTTTTTTTTTGAGACGGAGTCTCGCATTGTTGCCAGGCTGGAGTGCAGTGGTGTAGTCTCAGCTCACTGCAACCTCTGCCTCCCGGGGTCAAGCGATCCTCCTGTCTCAGCCTCCCGAGTAGTTGGGACTGCAGGCGTGCACCACCACACCCTGCTAATTTTTTGTGTTTTTAGTAGAGACGGGGTTTCACCATGTTGGACAGAATAGTCTTGATATCTTGACCTCATGATCCATCCGCCTCAGCCTCCCAAAGTGCTGGGATTACCGGCCTGAGCCACTGCGCCCGGCCTGAATTAATTTTTATATATGATGTGAGACAGGGTGCCAACTTCATTCTTTTATATGTTGATATACAGTTGTCCCAGCACCACTTCTTGAAAACATGATTCTTTCCTCATTGAATGGTGTTGACACTTTTGTCAAAAATCACTTGCCATAAATGCTTTGTTGGAGCCTGTTCTGGAGTACCACAGTGTGTGAGGGGGCACACAGTACAGTCAGCCTGATGCTGTGGGGGTTCCAGAGGAAAGCGGGAACACTGCAGAATCAGGGAGCCTTCACTAAGAGGTGATGTTTCAGACAGAGAACCTTGCAGAGACACAGAAGTATGCAAGAGCACAGCGGGTTCATGACTGACTATAAGTTTGGCATGGCCAGAGGGAGGATGGAGGAGAAAGAGGTGGGGCAGCAGGCTGGTGTGGAAGTTTAGGGCCATGTGGCAGGCCTGTAGGCTATGCTGAGTTTTGACTTTGTTCTGAAGGGAGTAGGGAACCAGAGAATAATCTGTCAGAGCTGTGAAGTGACAGACCTGTTTTAGAAAAGCCATGAAGCAGAGGGGGAGAAATTGAAAGCAGGAAACCTACTAGGAAACTCTTGTTACTCTGTGGCTGAGTGATGATGAAACCTGAGCAAATAAGAGTCATTGAGGCCACAGGAAAAGGTACAGCTGGCAGGTGGATTGACTTTTGAGGAAACTGAAGGGCTTGGTAACTAGTTGGATGTGAGGTTGAAGGGAGAAGATGAGATCTGATGTCAGCTACTTGACAAGTTGTCCTGGAGCCCAGAAATTACTTCTTCCCTTGTCTTGATTCTTTATTCTATAGATATATTTTGTGGGTGTTACTGTTTAAAATGTTCCTTTTCATGTAGAAATGTATCTTCTTTTTTTTTTTTTTTTTTTTTTTCTAATTTGCAGGTCATTTATTGGGGAGACAGCTTTCCCTAAGCACCTTACCAACAGCTTCTGTTTTGGCATGGAAGACTGCTCTCAGCAATGGTGAGATTCATTAATGCTACTACCTTTTCTCATAAAATGTAATGTTGGAGTATTTTCTATAGTTTTTAAAAATGTAAATAATCATCTGCTTTTTTCTCTTCTCTCTTCTTTTTTCATTTTTTAGCCTGGTTAGTCTTACTGCAATAATCACATTCTTTATGATAGAAATACATAGGATCTGAAGAATATTTTCAGATTTCTTAACGATTGCAATTGTTATGATTCCACACTTTAAAAAATAATAACTAAATAATAATTACTGGGTTGTTTCTGTGTATTAGACTTAGAGCTATTACCTTGATTAATCCTCACACCAGTTTTTATGAGGTAGTTATTATTCCCATTTTATAGACAATGAAGTGAGTCTCTGAGAGGCTAAGTGACTTGTTAGGAACACACAGCCAGTACCTGGCAGGATTGGGACCTGAGCTGTCTGGAGACTGTGATGCTTTCTCGTACTGTAGCACCAGGCCTTCACTGCCTTTCACTGCCATAGGACAGGGCCCTCTCTTCATTCACTCTCTAGGAAGGAAGGAAGGAAGCCAACCCATGCTGAGCCCATTGTACTTGCGATCTGTTAAATCCTGCTTTTTTTACATGGACTATAGTTAGGACTGAATTGAAATCTTGTTGTCCCCTTGAGTCCTGGGAACTCTCAATTGCTAGGCTTGGCTTTTACTCTTGTTCCCTTTCCTCTTGTTAACTTCACTTGTGAGATGCCTTTATACCTCAGTTGAGAGGTCCTGGAGAGGAGCTTAGCAGACCTGGGCTCTTCGCTTTGTCTGTTCACTTGTTGGTTGATTGATTCATTCACTCACTCACTCACTCACAAGATGCTTCCTGTATTACTGTGAGCCAGGCAGGGTCCCCAGCCTGAGCTAATGTGGGCCTAGAGAGGGCTTCTGTGAGGAAAGTAGAGCAGAGCGGTTACGGCCATGGGGACAGCCCCTGGCAAGGCGCTCGGTGGGGAAGAGGCTGACTGTTGGAGTGAAAGCAGAGTTCTCTGCTCCACCACTTCCTATCCTTTGCAGCCAGGTGCAAATGTGACCCTGGGAGCCCTGGTTTCCTCATCCATAAAGTAGGGATAGTAATTTCTACTTTGAACTGTTGTATTATTTCTTAAAATGTTGAACTTCCAAAAAGGTACTAAAAGGATTATATTTTAAAACCAATCCCTTTCCTACTCCTTCTCATTGCCAGTGACACTTTTTAATTATTTCAGTTTTCTCTGGTTATATTTATAAATTATGTTGTAGATATTCTTTGTCAACATTGTTATGTTAATTGAGAATTTAACTCTTCATTTTCCCTGCTTTCTCCAACATGGTTATAAGCACACTTTTGATTGATCTCTGATCAGTGTTTTTATTATTAAGTTTGTATATACTTATAGCTGAATTAGGTAGAATTCTATTATTACATTCTTTTTCCTGTAACAGTTTCCTTAGTACCTATTACTATATTTTTGTGAGTGCTGCAATAGATGGGTCAGACAAATAGCAATAGTTTTCTAAAATCTCTCAAACACATCATTGATCAGCTGGTTTGATGTAATAGATAAGATTTAAATTAGGAGGAAGAAGTTCATCATGGTGAAAACTGTAAATGCTGAAACAAAAAACCCTCGAGATCAGACTCTGTGTGGTGTTTGTTTTTGAGAGTCTTGCTCTGTTACCCAGGCTGGAGTGCAATGGCATGATCTCGGCTCGCTGCAACCTCTGTCTCTGGGGTTCAAGTGATTCTTCTGCTTCAGCCTCCTGAGTAGCTTGGACTACAGGCGTGTGCCACCGTGCCTGGCTAATTTTTCTATTTTCAGTAGAGACAGGATTTACCATGTTGGCTAGGATGGTTAGAACTCCTGACCTCAAGTGATCCGCCTACCTTGGCCTCCTGAAGTGCTGGGATTACAGGCATGTACCACCACGCCCAGGTAATTTTTGTATTTTTGGTAGGGACAGGGTTTCACTATGTTGGCCAGGATGGTCTCGAACTCCTGACCTCAAGTGATCTACCCACCTTGGCCTCCCAAAGGACTCTGTGGGTCTTTGACTTGACCCACACGAGGGTGCTTTTTGGGCTTAGTGCATTTTGGACTCCAGGGCAACTGTTTCCTGAGATGGGGAGTTCATGGACTGAAATTAATAATAATTCAGAGAACGAGAGCAAAACTGATAATTGATCATTGTTGGATAATCTATAACTGAGTGATTTAGCATAAGCTGATGACATCCCCTGTTTTAAAAATTATAACACATTTTAAGCAAAGTCGGTTGTAACAGTGTATTATAAGTGACTGTTTCTCAACTCTAAAGTCAATTTCTTTCTGCTTTTGACAATTGGACGTTTTTAGGTACATTATTAGATAGGAGAAATATTTCAGGCTTTCAAAAAAGGTTAAAGAATTCTAAATTTGTTAGTAACAATTTTACACTTTTTGAAGTATATCCGAGATTGCAGTACTAAATAGTACAAGATTAAATATCTTCTTTAATGTTAATGTAAGTAACCTAATATTAAGTAAGATATTTTGTTGAAAATTAAAGAGTTGGCCAGGTGTAGTGGCTTAACGCCTGTAATCCCAGCACTTTGGGAGGCCGAGGCAGGCAGATCACATAAGGTCAGGAGTTCAAGACCAGCTTGGCCAACATGGTGAAACTCTGTGTCTACTAAAAATATGAAAATTAGCTGGGTATGGTGTTGGTGCCTGTAATCCCAGCTACTCAGGAGGCTGAGGCAGAAGAATCACTTGAACCTGGGAGGTGGAGGTTGTAGTGAGCCGAGATCATGGCCATTGTACTCCAGCCTGAGTGACGAGAGCAGAACTCCATCGCCAAAAAAAAAACAAAGAAAAGAAAAGAAAAAGAGCATACAAGGAAACCTAAAACTAAAGTGTATGCTTCATGAGATGAGATTTGGAATGATGAAGTCCTGAGTTTAAAAATGAAAAGCCAGTGTTTCCCATCTGCTTTTTATTTACTCATTCTTTAAGTGAGCTAATAGGTCGAGAGGGACTTTAGGATGTCATCTGTCTACCTCTGTGCAGTTTAGTAAGTCATCTGAAATTGGAATTAATGTTTAAATCCCACCTACTAACTAGTCTTGTGACTTTCAGTAACTCCCTAACCTCATAGACCTAAGTTTATTTTGTGAAATGAAGGGGTTGGATTAAATGATCTAGTTTAGTTAGATCATTTAAATTAATTAAGAGAGGAATAACCTCCTTTTAATTAAATTTTGATATTTAAATGATTTTAAAGATCATCTAAAATCATTCAAAGATCATCTAGTTTAATTAAAAGGAGATTGTTCCTTTATTTTTCGGTGTCTATATGCAATGGAGATATTTCGATAGCTTACTGTAACCATTTAATACTACTTGTTATTGCCGTGTAAGATCATTGCTGGTGTGTGGCCCTCTGTGGCCATAATACAGCTGTTACCATCTTCTTCATCACTTCATGTAGACTTGAATATAGCCGTTGTCACTGTTTTTCAAGCCCATGCCCTTAAATAACTTTGTTTTCTTTTCTCTAGGGCTGTTCTAATTTCCTTTATCACTTCTCTTGTAGTCACTAGTGTCTCTATTAAAATGCAAAGCTTAAGGGCTTGTGCACTCTTATGTGTTAGCAATAGTTCCCATTTCTTCACATCCACCAATTCTCACCCTCCCCTCTTCCTTCACAGGACTTTACCCTCCATGAATTGAATAGATGCTGCCACTAAGACATAGATGTTTAAAAACTTTTCAAGTAATATGTGCATTTCGTGATAACAATTCCAAAAAATACAAAAAAAGCAAGTCCCTCATATCCAGTTTTAAATGTATCATATTTCTTCCCCAGAGGCAACTGTTGTTTCCAGGTTCCTGCATAATTCTGGGTTAGTCTATGAAGTGCATTAATGGCCGCTCCTTGTTTTTTGACATGAAGGGTAGGATAGTGTACATGCTCTCCTGCACCTTGCTCTTCTGACCAGGCCAGTTGCAGGTCTTTCCACCGCAGTATGTTGCTGGCTGCATACAGCAGAGGGTGCCAATCACCCTGAGTAGACTGCTCACCTAGGTTATGGAGTGCAGTGCAGAAACCCTGGTATGGACAAATCTTTCTTTACACATTGTGCCCATTGTGTGGATGAACTATAACTTTCCCAGTTAGGATGGGCATTTAGGTTGTTATTGGTCAAAAGTTTTGTTTTGTTTTATTTTTAAAAGGAAGACTGTCCTAAAAATCTGATTCTTAGAAGTTCAGGATTTTAGTGACTTATTTTTGTTAGTAATGATTATTTGATGCTAGCAGTGTTTTTCCACAGCCGTGAAGCATCTAACTCAAAGTTTAATCCATCTGCCTACAGGCCCTTTGTCATCACTGGGAACCAGAGACACCCATCCTTACGCCAGCTTGAGCCGTGCGCTGCAGACACAATGCCGTGTTTCTTCTTCCAGTCACCTGATGGGCCAGCAGTATAGACCATATAGTTTCTTCACTAAATGTATGTAGAGTGGCCAAAAACTTCCTGTTTCTTGAAACAGGAAAAGGATTTCTTGTATCTGAATTTTTCATCTTTTTTACATGAATTAAGATTTTAATGATTAGAATGTACTGTTAAAATGAAAATGTTCCTTGATGTACCTCCTAGAATTATCTTACATGCTACCACTTGTATTTTGGGGAGTTCTAGTTTGCTTTAGTCCCCTCGTTTGGGGCACTGGAGGCCTGAAAAATATTGAATCATGGCCAATATCCCTTGCTGACTTAGATTCACACCAAGAATATATTCATGTTTTCATTTGTGCCTTAGTTGAGGAGATAGGACATCTAATTGGGAAAAGTTAGTTTTAAGGAGATTTATTCATTAACATTACTCTTATTTGTGACAGCATTTGAAAGAATCTAATCTAAACTGAGACTAGCTTGTCAGGTAATAAACGGAGATTGAAGGCCAGGCGCAGTGGCTCATGCCTGTAATCCCAGCACTTTGGGAGGCCAGTGGATCATGAGCTCAGGAGTTCAAGACCGGCCTGACCAATTTAGTGAAACCCTGTCTCTACTAAAAATACAAAAATTAGCTGGGCATGTTGGCACATGCCTGTAGTCCCAGATGCTCGGTAGGCTAAGGTGATCACGCCATTGCATTCCAGCCTGAGCAACAAGGGGGAAACTCCATCTCCTAAATAAGTAAATAAATGGAGATTGAATTCACAACTCAGCATTAGGCAGGTTAAAAGAAATTAGTAATACAAAGGCTGTTCATTATTAGTTTAGAATATTTGGTAAATGCAGAAAAAAAAAAGGAGATAGTCATCTGTATTCCTACTACCCTGAAATACTGAGTTTGCTGCTTTTTTTCATGTAGTAATATATTACATTTTTCAATGGACTTCTGCAGTTCAGTCTTACGACCATAGAATATTTCATTGTATAGATACAGCTCGATTTAATTTGGAAATCTCCTGATAACTAGGTCATTTGTGTAGCAACAACACAGAAAAGTCTTGGTGGGGGATTAAGCAACATAGGCTTAGCTGAACTTGCAGATTTCAGTACAGAGAAAAGAGAGATGGGTAGAGTTGGGGCTGTTAGTCTCTCCCCTTGGTATCCGTAGCCCCAGTTTTTTCTAAGAGTTGACTTATAGTGGGTGTATCAGATTTACAAGCCTTGGGAATTTTTATTTTTCAATAGCCTTTTTCCGTTCTAAAAAGCCTTGTTCTAGAGGTGGCCTTACCCTCTGAGACCTCATCCTTCATGGTTGTTCTACCCCTGCCTCGGACCCTCTTCATTCACCGGTGTTCCTCCTCAGTTACAAGACTCAGTACTTTTGTGGGTTTATGGCTCCAAGTAATAGTAAGATTCACTCCAGTGAGGCCAACTCAGTTGAAACTAGCATGTGGCTAGTTTTTGCTGTTTCAGTAGGAAATAGTCTTTGATTTTCTGAATCTCCAGGAAATAGGACACACTTTTTCAAAACTCGTTAAGATTTCCTACGAATACTGAACCTTGTACTTGCAAACCTATCCTTTTCTGTAGAGGATCCACTGTTTAAATCCCTTTGATTCAAATTAGCAAGCTCTATTACTTAGCATGATTTAAGAGAGAAGTAACTTGGTGTATAAAATTAGATACTACAGTGGATTTATTTAGATGTGTGTATATATAAAACATGAACTTTATCTTTTATAACTATGATAGTTAATAGGTGTATATGTTAACCTAGCTTCGCCCTTCCGGAAAATGACAGGATTGAAATGAGAGTAGATGTATTCTAACTAGCCTTTTAGGTTATTTAGAATCTTAGACCTGTTGTAAAAATAGTAAAATCTCTATTAAAAGAACTTAATTCACCTTACAGCCATTACAGAACATTATGATCATAAATAATATTTAAGAATATGGGAAAAGAGTCACAAACCAATATATACTATGCATACATGTATAAAGAAAAAGGCAGAATGTACATTCTTATCCAACAGTGGTAATGGGATTATGATTATTACATTCTGTATTTTCCAGATTTAAAAAAAATAACTTTTATAATTTGAAAAAGGATTAAAAACATTTTTAATAGCATAATGGTATTCAAAGGTTGACTCATGACTTGCTGTCTTTTTCTTTTTTGAGACAGAGTCTTGCTCTGTCTCCAAGGCTGGAGTACAGTGGCATAATTATAGTAATCTCAAACCCCTGGGGTCAAGCAACCCTCCCACCTCAGCCTCTCAAGTAGCTGGGACCATGGGCACATGCCACCATACCTGGCTAATATTTGAATTTTTAGTAGAGATAGTGTCTCACTATGTTGTCCAGTCTGGACTCACACTCTGGGCTCAGGTGACCCTCCTGCCTTAGCCTCCCACAGTTCTGGGATTATAGGAATGTGCCTGGTCAACAGTTGATTTTATAACTATAGATTGTGGTCCAGATTTATGGGTTCAGATTGAAATGTTGTTTCATGTTTGGACTAGGAAACTTATATTGAGGAAGGATAGTTATTAGTTATTTTACTGCTTATAATAGAGGCAAGAGGACAGGGAGGAGGCTTACATCATGGTTGATAAAATATCAGGGAAAAAAACTTATTGGTAAGTAACTGAGATTTAAATGCTGGCTTTTAAGCAGTTAGAGGGAAAAATCAAATAGTGAGAGTTTTGTGGAGGAAAGTAATAGAATTGTCTCTTCTTGGGCTTTCCAAATGTAACCATCTGATATGTGCAAAGAATGATTTAATTTTGCTTTCATTACCTCAGTGATATATGGGTAAAGCTATAAGCTGATCTCTACTTCCCTTATTATTCAATAGGAGAGCATAGACCATTGCTTGAAAACTACAAAATTAAAACAAAAACAAAAACCCTGTTTCATTACAGTGACTGCAGGTGAGCTGTGGAAAGGTGCTTTAGCAGAGACTGGTGCTGGAACAAGAAAAGGAAGAGGCAAAAGAACTAAAAAGAAGAAAAGAAAGGATTTGAACAGGGGTCAGATCATTGGTGAAGGTAAACTTATTTATAAAAACAACTAAAATGCTTTTTAAAGTTTTTTACCCCAGATTTTAAGGATATTTTACAAACAAGAAGCATCAAAACATTTCTCATGAAGGGCACTGGAATCTGTGGTTTTAGAATTCAACCAGATGACTTACTACTCATTTCCAGGATTCTGGGGGAGGAAAATCCCATAGAAATGGATTTATTCATTCAGCAAGCATTAAATATCCCTGTGTGTCATATCCTATAACAGTGTGTGCCCTCAAAGAGGTTATGATTAGTGGTAAAAGAGAGAATAAATGGAGAGTTGGCAAATATTCCCTGGAAAGGGAAGACAGTAAATGTTTTTGGCCTTGTAAGTTACATAGTCTGTTTTGCAGCTGTTCAACTCTGCTGTTGTAGAAATGTTTTAGGTTTTTAATACTTTTAAATGCTTTATATCTGTATAGCATCCAATTTTTCAACTAACAGCCACAGACAGCACAGTGAAATAGGCATCACTATGTTCCAGTAAAACTTCTTTTACAAAAACAAGTGGTGGGCTTAGTTGGCCTGTAGGCCTTAATTTGTTGACACCTAGAACACATGATTGTTTATACTCATGATTTTGGAAGAGTAAAAATAGTGTAGTGTACTTCAGTCAGCCCGTCTTGTACTGTGCTTGCTGACAAACCATCTTTGATAGTAATGGCCTTTCAGGAATAAAGAAAACACCTGGTACCACACTTCAGCATCACATGTCTACTTGGATGTTTTTCTTTATTTCTTACCTTATATCTTATTTTTTTAACACTTATTTTTTAAAATTATAAGAATCATGTATGTATACTTTCTCAGTAAAAAATGCAAAGATTGTAGAGAAACCTAAAGTCCCTCTGGATGCTGCTTCTACCTTCTTCAGTCCTCTCTCCCTCAGGGAAACCACTGGCCTCATATTGGTGTCTTTCCTTCAGTTTTTTAATACATAAATACCTAAAAAGGTATTACTAAAGGTATTATGGATAAATACCTAAAAAGAAATAGATATCTTCTTTAAAAAAATAATTTAGATTATGTCACATGGTACTTGTTGTCTGACAGTTTACTTTTTTTATTCAATAATAGGTCTTGGAAACCAATCCACATCAGAACCTGGAGAGCTACCTTGTTCTTTTGATTTAATGCAGAATGTTTCATATGTTGGAGATGCTGTGGTTCATTTAACCAGTCCACGATTGCTGGACATTTGGACTACTTGCATTTCTTGCTTTTACAAATAATATTTCAGTGGACATCCTTGTTTAAGCATCCATATGCTTTGTACCTGTATGTGAGTGTTTCTTTAGGTAATACCATGAAGTACATTTAAAATTTTGATTGTGCCAAGTGATCTACCAAGATAATATGTTAGCTTAAGCTCCAGTGAACAGTGTCATCATTATCTGTACGTGGATTGCCTGACTTTTTAACACTTGGAAAATGGGTACTTAAAAAATTATTATTTATAATATTTTTAAACCTTCAGGGCATTGTGGTTTTCTGTGGCCTGGTCTGAATGTTCCTCTTATGAAAAATGGAGCAGTGCAGACCATTTCCCAAAGAAGCAAGGAAGAACAGAAGAAGGTGGAGGCAGACATGATCCAGCAGAGGGAAGAGTGGGACCGAAGGAGGAAGATGAAGGTTAAACGGGAGCGAGGATGGAGTGGAAGGTCATGGGGAGGCGTCAGTCTTGGACCCCCTGACCCTGGTCCTAATGGAGGTAGCAGACTCCTGGTTTTGTTTGCCTTTGTGACAGAGAGAGTACTTGTTTAAAATTTCCTTGAAATGGTATTATTATTTGTCTTTATATTGCCTTTTTCCAAAAAAGATTTCAGCATCTTTGAAATAACATATATTAATATCCCAAATGTATTTTGTGGAATCCAGAAGTATTCTACTAACAGGATAGGAAGCACTGGGGTCCTGGTGTTTATTGTGTACCTTCTCAGATCCTTAAATGTGGGGTTGTGCACTGTAGACCTGCAGGAGTTGCCTGCAGGTTACAGTGTTTCCCAAAAACTGTTGGCCACAGGGGTACCTGTGGAGCAGCATGGCCTGGGAATGCTATTTCCATACTAGAAGTCAGCAAAGCAGATAGTTGTCATTAATCCTATAAAAGAACACATGAAGCAAATATTGAAAATACTTAGGCCAAATTTGAAAACAAAGTTTCCCGCTCCCTCTTTGACTATGTAAACCAGTAAAAATCATCCAAGAAGTCTGTTCTTGTCGATGAATGAGAGAAGAGGAAATAGCTGAGAGTTTGACTGCTTTCTTAAGAACTTTGGCGTCAAGAGGAGGGGAGAGGTTGAAATGGAGAGATTCCAGGGAACATGCTTAGAACTGATCAAAATGCTTCAGTCAGGAGGAGGAAGGTATGGAAGGAAGAGGACAAAGTCAATGAACCAAGTCCCTCACAACACAGCCCAGATCTAGAGTCTAGAGAAATGGCTTCACTTGTTCACAGAAGGAAGGGCAGGGCAGAGAATCAGGTGAGCCTATGGGGTTGTAGTGGAAAGATAGGGGAGGGTGTTGCGTGATGTGGCCGCAGTTGGTGTGTAAGGAAGAGGTGGAATCATCTGCGGAGAGTGAAGTGGGGACATTGATGATTATGGCCTCCAGGTTATTTATGAAAAGGTAGGGTATCTGAAACTGGCTTTGAAATTAGCCAGTGGAGTGAGAGTTGAACAGAGTTTAGAGGAAAGAAGATTGGCTGTGGGTTGATGTGTGTTGAGCTGACTAATGCATACATAAGCTTTTGTTGGTTCTGCTGTTCTGTTTTTGTTTGATTGAAATTGTCTGGGACAAAAATGTTAAAAAAACAAAACAAAACAAAAAAAAAACGTAGAGAGTCTTTGAAATGGCTGCAGTGGTAAGTGGAGAGAGACCTAACTGAAAGGACAAAAAGGCCAGCTGGCAGCAGGGAAGACTTGATGGAATTGGAGTCCATGAATTTTTAGTGGCCCCTGTATATGAATACTTTGACTTCTCTCTAGCGGCATCCAGTAGGTCAGGAGTGGCCAAGAGCTGCAGGTCTGGCTAGTGTGGAGAGAGCAAAGGGTGAAGGATTTGAGGGCATTCACAAGATCTGGTGGAAATGATGGACTATGGTGTCTTGGCTGAGTGGGGGAGGCTGCGAAGACAGAGGGAAGCAAAGGGAAAGCAGGGATCCAGGGTCTGGAGGGGCCAGAAGCTGATGAGATAGAGATGGATGGGGAGGAGGGTGCAGGTGGGGAGATCACTGTCTGAGGTTATGAACTTAACTGGTGGAGCAGTCTCTAGTGATGAGGGGTGACTGGGGCATGACCTTGAGAGTAGGACCAAAGATCTATGATGGTGCCCATGCTGAAAATGCTTTCATGTTAGTGTACGCACATTTCATCTGTACGCCTGTTTCTTTTCTTCCTGCAGAAACATACGAGGATTTTGATACCAGAATACTTGAGGTAGGCTTGTAGAATTAAATACCTGGTTAAGCCTTTGGAGAGGTTGGGGTGGGTGGGGCAGGGACAGAAGAAGAGGAACTGTGAGGGAATGCTTTGGCATGACTATTTCTTACACACAGCTGATCTGGGGAAGGAAATTATGCAACTTTAATTTCATTTACTTGATACTGGCTCTTCTGACTACTGCACTCTTTGTGGGGGTGCTACCAGGTTGAGGTCTTATGATAAGGTGGTATTGTTAACTACAGGATTTGTAGATGAGGTTTAAATTTCCTCTTTCCTAAGACTAAAGTAGCATTGGAGTCTATTTTTGAATTATAGACCAGCTGTATCTAGCACTCAGTGCAGGAAGCTGGGGTTGGGTGGAGCCCTGGGGCAGGGTAGAAAGCTTAAAGTTGTGGTGCATGTCTGGTTTTTAATGGGGAAATGGTCTCTGGGTTGCTCACAGGCCTTTGAAACTAAAGCCTGTATCAAGTAAACTATAGTCACTTTCCAGAGCGTTCTCTAAAATAGTCAATTTCCCTTTGAGCTGGCACTGAATGCTCAGTGTTTAATATCATGTGGAATAATCATTTATTGAGTTTGTGATTGAGCCTCACCTAATATCTGTATTGTTTCCTCCATATCAATTGCATTGTAGGATTTAAAATGTTTACCAATATTATGTCTTTGGTATTCCCACTTAGAGCTTTTGAAAGTTAATCTCTTTGAAGAATTCGTATATATGTGGGTGATTTTCTATAAGATCCATGGGGGTGGATTCAAGCTCCCTTTCCTTTTAACCCCATTTTGTGGGAAAGAGACAGCTATGTACTAGAGAGCCAGCTGCTGTGTAAGCAGTTTAGTTAACAGTTCATAGTTCTTGGCCTTTTAAATACACAGAAAAAAATATACATTTTCCTGTAGTTCAGAATAAGCAAGTATTTCCAAATATTTCCAAATATGCTAATCCTGCCGGGCATGGTGGCTCACACCTGTAATCCCTATGGGAGGCTAAGGTGGGTAGATCACGAGGTCAGGAGTTCAAGACCAGCCTGGCCAACATGGAGAAACTCGGTCTCTACTGAAAATACAAAATTAGCCAGGTGTGGTGGCACATGCTTCTAACCCCAGCTACTTGGGAGGCTGAGGCAGGAGAATTGCTTGAACTTGGGAGGCAGAGATTGCAGTGAGCTGAGATCATGCCATTGCACTCCAGCCTGGGCAACAAGAGTGAAACTCTTGTCTCAAAACAATCAAATACCTTAATCCTTAGCATAGAGAGCCAGTCCTGTGCTGGTTATGTCTGTATACTGCATGTCATAATTTCTAAGGATTGTTTTCCTCACATTTTAACATCTCTGACATGGGGATACATCTTACAGTCAGTGATAAACTATATCAAAGTTTGATCAGCAACTTTTTTCTTTCTTGTGGTACATTCATTAAGACAGGATATATCGAGATGTATAATGTCAAATTCCTTTAAAGGTTTTCTCAGTTGAACCCTCTCCTAACCCTGTGAAACGAAGAGAAAGTCTCGTTTCTGTTTTCTTCCTGAAACAGTCCAGGAGGAGGTTTTGTTTGGAGAAAGTCTGCTACTTGTGCTCGGGAGTTGGAGGATGTTCTCTGTGTGTGCCTGTTCACCATGTATGCCTGCAAGAAAGGCAGATCCCTCCAGTTGCCTCCTTCAGATTTTCTTAATGTGCTATATTTCTGAGACATTTTGCCTTTTAGGTAAGAAATGTTTTCAGTATGACAGCGAAAGAGGGAAGAAAGAAATCAGTCCGTGTCCTGGTGGCTGTGGGGAACGGAAGAGGAGCTGCAGGTAAGTGGGGAGTGTTGGCACCTCAGTGGCGGTGGTGTGCAGGGACAGGTGTGGTACGGGCCCATGCTGTGAAGCCCACAGTATCATGCTGCTGGCCAGACGTTTTCCACTGATTAAACCTTTTAGTGGTTTGGGTTCATAAAGCTTGTGTTAAGCCCCTGACATCCCTTAGAGAGAAAAGATGAAAATACCTTTTTCAGTTTTTATTTGTATTTTTTAAAGTATGAGAGCTTGAACACCATTTTACATGTTTATTAGCCATCATTTTTTTTTTTTTTTTGAGATCTGTTCATTTATGTGCTTTGACCATTTTTCTATTGGGTGGTTATTATTTTCCTTACTGATTGGTATAAGCTGTTTGTAAGTTAAGGACATTAGCCCTTTGTCAGTCAGATATTTTGACTTAGGTTTTAATTTTTTCCCCACACAGAAGTTTTAAGCCTTTCTGTGGCAAGTGTATCAGTCTTTTATCATGACTGGGTTTCTGTCTTGCTTCGAAAGCATCGTTTGAAGATTATAAATATTAATAAGTTTCCCCATATTTTCCTCTAGAACTTCCATGGTTTTGTTTTGTTTAAACTGGGAATTGGCATTCACAGCCTCTTTTGTCCCAGGTCTCAGAGGTCCCATGTATCGTATAGAGCAGTATTGTCTTATGTTATTTTTCCCTGTATAATGTAAAAACAAAATGTGTTGTTCAAAACAAGATACAAGTGGCAGCAAATAATGGCAGCATCTCTGTAACTGCTGGTAAACCATATTTCATAGTTAAGAGTTTGTAAACTAAAGAGTCATTGATTTGGATTCCTGGTTAATTAAAATCTGAATTCCATTTGACATTCCAGTGAAATCATGGTTTTACTTTATAGCAATGGATGTTTTTTCCCACCCGTTCTGTTTTGTTTTGCTTTTTTCCTTCCTGAGACAGGGTCTTGCTCTGTCACCCCAGATGGAGTGCAGTCGCATCATCACAGCTCACTGCAGCCTCAACCTCCTGAGCTTAAGTGATGCCCCGACCTCAGCCTCTTGAGCAGCAAGGATAACAGACACCTACCACTATGCCTGGCTAATTTTTGTATTTTTTGTAGAGACAGGGTGTCACTATGTTGCCCAGACTCGTCTTGAACTCCTGAGCTCAAGAAATCTGTTCATCTTGGCCTCCAAAAGTGCTGGGATTACAGGCATGAACCACCATGCCTGGCCCCTTTTAATCTATCTCTAACTGTTCAAAGTGATTACCTAATTAATTTAGAACATACTTAGTTTTTTAAAAGTTGAGTGTATTTTATCTAGCTATTTTTAAAAGGCCACATCTAACCTTGGCTTTTATAAATACGTCTAAATTTATTATTTCCAGAATAATTCAAAACAGATCTCTGTAGCTTCGTGTTTTGTTAGTGTTTTTTTTTTTGTTTTGTTTGTTTTTTTTGGTTTTGATACAGGGTCTTGCTCTATTGCCCAGGCTGCTTGCTGGAGTACAGTCATAGCTCTGTACCCTCAAACTCCCAAACTCAAGTAATCCTCCCACCTCAGCCTCGCAAGTAGTTGGGACCACAGATAGGCACCACCATGCCAGGCAAATTTTTAAAATTTTATTTTTAGTAGAGACAGAGTCGTGCTATGTTGCTCAGGCTGGTCTCAAACTCCTGGACCCAAGTAATCCTCCCACCTTAGTCTCCTAAAGTGCTGAGATTACGAGTGTGAATCACCACACCCAGCCGGTTATTGGTTTTGTATAGCAAGTCTTTTGTGGGTGGTGGAAAAACAAAGTGCCAGAAAATATTGTAGGAGGTGAAACTTGAAATGTGGCGAAAGCCATATGGGCCAAATTTTTGTCTCTTTTCTTAGTTTTGCTTTTTTTTTTTTTTAAGGTTTTGCTCTTGGGAAAGCTGCTGACCGGTTGGATGCTTTCAGGAAAGTATGTACATTCTTTTCTTGGTTGACACTCAGTAAAAGATAAGTAAGCTATATGCTAGACACAGTGGGAACCACAAAAAGATAATTTTTGCCAGAACCTTTCCAGGAGGCTTGCTGTCAAGAGTTAATTAGCGCATAAAAATCAGTTTCAGAAGTACTTACATTCCTTCACACCATATTTAATCAGATTTATAATTGCCTAGCCAAGTTAGGAGACAGCTGTGGAAGTTTCAACACTGATAGAGTGTTTGAAGATACTAAGGAATTCTTGTTAATTTTTTTTTTTTTTTTTTGAAATAGTATCTCACTCTTGTTTCCCAGGCTGGAGTGCAATGGCATGATCTTGACTCACCGCAACCTCTGTCCCCTGGGTTCAAGTAATTCTCCTGTCTCCACCTCCCAAGTAGCTGGGATTACAGGTGCCCCCCACCATGCCTGGCTAATTTTTGTATTTTTGGTAGAGATGGGGTTTTTCAATGTTGGTCAGGCTGGTCTCGAACTCCTGACCTCAAGTGATCTACCTACCTCAGCCTCCCAAAGTGCTGGGATTACAGACGTAAACCACCACGTTTGGCCAGGAATTATTGTTCCTTTTTTTTAGGCGTGATAGTGATACTGTGGTTAAGTGTTTTAAAAAATAAGTCCTTATATTTTAGAAGTATATACTAACCTTTTTGCATAAATGAATTTTTAATAATGAAACATTTTATTAAAAGTATTTTTGGAGTCCTTGAAAAGATGTAAATTTCAACAGATTTAAGAAAAACATTTTCCTTCTTTCAGGCAAAGAACAGAGCAGTTCACTATTTGCATTATATAGAACGATACGATGACCATACAAGTGAGTGTTAATCTATTTTTTTTTAATTTGCAGGATTACATTTGTTAAAGTATGTGTGGCAATATATCTCTATAGATATCTTTGTGTTCTCTCTTATTATATTCTTACAAATACATGAATTATGAAAACAATCTCCTAAGAAGGTTAGTAAAGTGAATGAAATTAGAGCTTATCATTTATCCTTGGTGAATGTGCACTGGCGGTTGAGGCTGCTATACATTGCTTTGCAATATTTGCAAAGACATTAAAGTCACACACCTAAACCTTCTGTGTTTATGTTTTTACCTTCCAGTATTCCATGATATTTCATTAAGATATAGAAGGACACATATCAAGATGAAGAAACAACCCAAAGGTAACCTTAAAACTCTTACCATTTGTTGATGATAAAGCAGAGAAATTATAACAGTTCTGTCCTCTCCTCTATTTTTGCTCGTCTTTAGTTGAATTCATCTTGATTTAAGAACTCATATTAGATTTAAGAATGATGAGGCTCAGAGAAATAAAGAATAGTCAAGGCACACCAGCTCCCGTGAGCATAGGCTTGTTCCAGGAATATTTGATGGTGGGGAGAGCACATTGGAAATGGGAAATAGCAACTGAGTGGAGTAGAGTTTGGAGGAGTGGGAATATTAGTTCCTCACAGGGAATTCATTGATGCTTTTAGACATTTCTGTTCTAACTTATTCAGGTCCAGGTGTTTACTGCTCATCAAGTTCTGATTGGATGTCTTCTGTGAGCTGGGTGTTAAGCTAGGCACCAGGGATGATGCAGAGATAGACTTTCCTGTTTTGTGGACAAGAAGGCAGGCAGGCAGAATTCAGGGTTATGTGCTAGGGCAAGCATGCCTAGTGGTCTCTGAGTGTAGGATTCTTGAACATTCTGATTTGCATTTCACCTGTAGTTCTACAATAAAGAATGATTTTATGTAACTTTTGGTATATAAATCTCAAAAAGTTTCAGTCAGAAGAGATAAAACATTATATTTAAAATTTCTTATCAAAGCTTCTAATACAACCTTGCTAGAGCTATAGCTTGGAAATAAATAGCCCTCAAATACAGAATCAGTTGTGTTAATGCACCAGAACTTGCCTTCTGCTTTAAAACCATAATTAACCATTTAAATGCTGGATAAAAACCATATATTTTGTCATTAGAAAAGGTGTTGAGTGGACTTCAAGGTTTAGATCTGTGCTGTCCCACACAGTAACCACTAGCCGGCCTGGCTAGTGAGCACTTCACATGGGGCTATTGAGATGTGCTCTAATTGTCAAATACACCCCAGAATTCAAAGACCTAGTACAAAAAAAGAATATGAAATATTTCAAAAATGTTATTGTATTGATAACATTTTTAAATGATAATGTTTGGACATATTGGGTTAATAAAACACATTACTAAATAAACTTTTAAAAAACTTTAGAAAATGCGTCTATGAGAATGTTTAAAATTAGGTATATGCATCTGCTTGTGGCTTGCATTATATTTATGTTGGGCACTGTTGTTTAGATACATTTTTATATCTGGATGATTTCTGAATGACTGCTTCAATTTTAATTTAATTGAAGAAGCTACCTTTTAAAGTCTTTCCTGTCTTTTAATCAAAGCTGTATTGTATTAGCTAGACCATTACCTGTTTATTGGGGTTAAATATTCTGATTTTGAAGCTAAAACAGCCTATAGTACTTTTAGACATTTCCTAAATATGTATACATTTATAGACATTTTGTACATACATGTACAAATAGGCATTTCCTAAATGATGTTCCTATGTGTTGCTAGTTCTGTGGGAGGTAGAATAGGTGTTAATCCAGAAAGGATGCCAAATGTCAGAACAGGATTAAGGAAAGGCACCAAAATTGTTTGTGCATCTTTGTAAATGTTGCAGTCTTTAATGCACTGCCATGGGATATGAATCTCCCAAGGGAAATGGAAAGTGTGTGTTTCCAAACTTATTTAACCATGGAACACTTCTACCTTGGCAATAGGACAGTATTCAGTTCCACACACAGCTCTGCAAAACTTTGCCACATAAATATACACGTTAAGTTTTATCAAACAAGTGTTTTTTTGACATAGTCTCTGCCTGGAAGGTAATCAAATCATTACCATAAGACTACAACCACTGTCACGTGGGTGTTTGTGTATGTGTGACACAGTGGCCAGCATTTGTGCTGTATCTGTGCTGGTCCAGGTACTGTGTATTACACACCTCGATGCTCACCAGCAGCACTCCTAAGTAGGTATTGTATGGAGGAGCCTTATTGTCTGGGTCAATCCAGAGAGCAGTGGCAGGGTAGAGGCTGCTTCTCAGCTCCTTCCGGAATCTGCATGATACCCCCTTCCATATGTACCTCTCTCTAGGTGTGTGTGTGCACCTGTGCTCATCCAGACGTGGGTGCATTATATTCACACATGGGCACATGTGTAAGTAACTCCACATTGGAAGAACAGAGGACTCCATTGTGTCCTGTCTTTAGCTATCCTCTTAAGTTCTTGCATGCTTTAGCATAATTATGGAGGCCACAGTTCATTGGCCCTTTCAAGTAGAAGGAATAGTTCTTGACCATAAAAAGTCAAACGAGAAAGACAGTAATGTTCAACTTCCAGAGTAGATCTTCTGCCTTGGAGTAGAAGAGGTGTGTGCTTAGTTTCATGCTTGGCAAATAATAATGTTAGAGGCCACACTTGGGCCCCTTCACATTCACTCACTCCACCTGCGTTTGCCAGGTACTGCTCTAGGCTCTGGGGACACTGTCGTAAACAAATAATATCCTGGCTCTATGGAAGCCATCTTCCACTGAGGGGAAACATTGGATAAACAGGTTTCGTTGAGTGCCCTAATTAGGAGTAGGAGGGAGGAAGGTGTAAGGAAGGATGCCATCTTGAGTAGCATGGTCATAGAAGGCCTGTCTGAGGAGAAGCAATTTGAGTGGGACCTTGAAGGTGAGAAGGAGCCAAGGGGGCAAAGCTGGGTGGACATTTCAGGCAGAGGGAATCTCAAGTGCAGTCCTCAAGGCAGGAATGCTAGCAGGAGGTGGTGTGTCTCTAGATGAGGTCAGAGGTGGGCAGGACTCAGGCATAGAGGGCTCTGTATAGGCCATGGTGTTCTTTATTTTAATCTCGAGAACAGTGAGTGCGGGGGGTGTCATTACATGGGGAGCAACATGTTTGGCTTGTGTTTTTAAAGCTCTCTGGAGAAGGGATTACAGGTGGAAAGGGCTAGGGCAAGTGGCTGGAGGGGAGACCCCCTAAGATTTGGAGGCCAGCAAGGAGGGAACGACTTGGCAGTAGCTAGGAGGAAATCTGGGAAAGGATATGTTACCATAAGAAAAGTAGAGCTTCTCCAGGAGGAGGAAGTGGACCCTCTGCTCAGGGCAACAGAACAGTCAAGGAGGGTGAGAAGAGATGTGTCCCTCCATCCTTAGTTAACGTGGGTCTGGGGTGCCAAGAATTTTCATGCATCTTTGTTAATCTTAATAACAGTCCTGTTTTTTTGCCCTCTGTGTTCAAGATATTTATAGATGTCATCTTTTTAATCCTTGTAGTATCCTGTTTAAGTAAGTGTCTTCTTAGAAGTTAAGTAAGTTGTCAAGGGTCAACTCACTAGGAAGTGGTGATACCAGAATATGAACCAGTTTCCCGAAGCCCTGAGCCTGAAGCCATGTGAAAGTCAGCAGGGTGACTCTGCCCACTTCAGGCGAGTGGGCTGTGTTTCACCTGGTTTCTCTATTTCTAGGTTATGGCCTCCGCTGCCACAGGGCCATCATTACCATCTGCCGGCTCATTGGCATCAAAGACATGTATGCCAAGGTCTCTGGGTCCCTCAATATGCTCAACCTCACCCGGGGCCTCTTCCGTGGGCTCTCCAGACAGGTAACCTTCTCCCGGGGTCTGAAACAGAAGTTTTAGTTTGTATTTCAGTTGTGCGTGTTGGGACTACCGTGCCCTGGGGCCTCCTGAAGATGCTTTCCTGTGGGCACCTTAGGAATTGGGCATTCTTTGCTGTCTGTGGCTGCATCAGTTTAGTTAAATTCACTGAAAAGTTCATGAAAATTACCTTTTAAAAAGTACTTCATGGGTTTTTCTAAGTAGTGTTATTTCAAGCCAGGAATTGTAATCTACGTGTTACTATGAAAATAACACATGTTGTTCTAAAGCTCTGAAAGTATGGGAAAGTAAAATAAAAAGAGAACGTCCATTTTCTAATTTAGTCCTTTCAGCCAGGGCTAGGGTGAAGCACTCAGGGCACCTCTGCATTCAGGGCAAGCACAGTCAGCTTCCTGTTACCTGTGTAGGTAGTTTGGACTGATGCCTGGGTTGGTAAGGAGCTATGAACTTGTCAGGTTACTATTCCTCATAGGTGGGAATCCTGGGCCCAGCTTCCAGTCACCCACCATGGAGGAGAGGGTTGTGACTGCACTTGGTCCCCCATTCTTGGGTACCCGTCCTGCTTGCCCAGTAGGGCTGGCCTGTCTCTTGAAAGGATGGGTAGACCTTAGCATAGATGGATGAGCAGATTAGGTTCAGTAGGTTTCATTTGCTGAACTCTGTTAGGTGAGGACTTTGGCAGCCTTCCTGACACTTCAAGAGTACAGTGGTGAGTTTTAGTTAAAGTGATCCAGGGAGTAATTTTCCACGTCTCTAGGAAAATTAGAAGAAAAAGAAGGCTTTGGGTAAAAGATGTTTTTGAACAGCTTTTTGTGTGTGTTGGTACTGCCTAAAACATCTTTCACAGCACTTCTAAATTGAAACATTAGAGGTTTAATTAAGATGTTGGTTTTAGATAGGTTTTATTTATGATCCAGTAGACTTGTTCTTTTATGTGATATTTTTGTTTTCTGTTAGTCTTTTAAACCTTCTGATATGATTACCATATATCATCTCTCCTAAAATGCCATCAGCTATAAAAGGTTGCATTATTTAATATGCAACACAAAAAGAAAAAGATGTTACCAATTTAGGTGATATGCCTTTGATTGAAAGATACACCAATATAAATTATTTTATTTTGTTTATGAAACAGCTCATCTCTTTTCTAATTTCAAACATACATAGAATTAGAATAGTGCAAGGCAGCCATAAGGCCTGGGATCATGGGATTGACATATCAGGTATGTCGTCGTACCGTGAATAATGTCTACTGAACTAATCTGCCTGCTTCCAGATCTCTGTGGCCTCCCTCTACAGTGAATCCCTATGGCCCTGTCACCTAGCTCATGACCAGTTGCTTCTCAGTACCACCCCCAGTTATTTTCAGCCAAATCTCAGACATTTTATTTTACCCCTAAATATTTTAGTATATATTTTCTAAAAGATAAGCATTTAAAAATACCCTATAATACTATTATCATACCTAAAAATTTAACAGTAACTTGTATCGTTAAATATCCTATCAGCGTTCATACAAATGAACATTTGAACAGTGTTCATACAAATGAACATTTGAACAGTGTTCATACAAATGAACATTTGGACTAATGAACATTTGTCCAAACAAATGAACAAATTCCACTTGTTAGATTAAAAAAATGCTTTTTACACAAAGTGTTTGAATCAGGCTGTAGAACAGGTCAATGTATTGTATGTTTTTGCTATGTCTTTTCAATAGGTTCCCCTCGTCTTCCCCCTGCCCCTTATGATTTTTTTGCTGAGGAATCCAGCTTGTTTGTTTCGTAGTGCTTCCCGGTTTGTTGCTGACTAAAACACCTGTGGGGTCCTTAATGTCCTCTCCTGTATATTTACTGTAAATTGGTAGTTAGATCTAGGGGATTGGTGAGATTCAAGTTCAGTGTTTGGAATAGCATGGTGCATAATCAGGAGGGTTTAGAAGGCAAGGGACCAGTGGCCAAGGGCCTTCCTTTGTCCCAGTTTGGGGTGGGCAGATGAGGCTGAAATGGCACCACACATGACAGGTTACCAGAGTTTAGCCACAAAACACATTAACCCAAATCCACTGAAATGGCCTTTGAATTCCCCTAGGCTGTACTGCTGGCTTCCTTCTCCCTGTGGAAGTTCCTGCTCTTTACGTTGCAAATGTACTTCAGACCTAACCTGTTGTCAATTTGGTCTGGCCTAGGAAACCCATCAACAGCTGGCTGATAAGAAGGGCCTCCATGTTGTGGAAATCCGGGAAGAATGTGGTCCTCTGCCCATTGTGGTTGCCTCCCCCCGGGGGGCATTGAGTAAGGATCCGGAGCCAGAAGATGAAGTTCCAGACATCAAACTGGACTGGCAAGACGTGAAGACTGCGCAGGGAATTAAAGGCTCTGTGTGGTCTAATTTAAAGAGAGGTGCCACGTAACCTTTCTGGCCTTGTGCAGCCAGTGCCTGTGCTGCCCTGCACCCAGGAGAGACTCAGCCCCTCACAGCTTGGGGTGTTGCCTTGTTTTTTGTTTGTTTTGAGGAAAGTTTAATCTTCAAACTGTTGAGAAATAAATAATTATAGCTTTCGTTTATTGAGCACATGGTACATGCCAGTGTGATAGGATCTTTACATGTATATCTCAGTTCAAGACTATTTTAAATATTCATCCAAAGTAGCAAAAGTAAGTGAGTTAGGGAGACAGGGCCAATAATCTGACCCAATCAGTAATATGCACAATAATGATTGCTATAATAACTATAGCTAATATATATATTAACTCATTCGTCCAAAGTTAATGTGGTTAACTTCATTTTACAGAGCAGTTAAGTAACTTGACTACCTTGAGGAACTGCCAAACTGTTTTCCACAGTGGAAATGGAAGCCTGTAGGCTACTGTTGGGAATTTTAAATGGTGTATTAATTGTACACCATTATAATTTTGACTTGTGTTTCCCTGATGGCTGATGATGTTGAACATTTTTTCATGTGCGTATTGGCCATTTGTATGCACTTTTTGGAGAAATGTCTATTCAGAGCCTTCGCCCATTTAAAAAGTTATTTTTTGTTATTATTGAGTTCCTTATAGTTTCTAGATATAAGCCCCCTATGAGATACATGCTTTACAAAAGTTTTTACCCATTCTGGGAAACATATATATATATCTATATATATAAACATATATACGTGTGTGCGTGTATATATATGTATATGTATGTATATATTTTATTTCTTTGGATAGTTTTTCTGCCCCACTTGCATCCTCTTTCTGGGACAGTTATGACACAAATGTTAAACCTTTAATTATCGTCCTGTGAGTCCCTGAAGCTCTGTTTATTTTTTTCTAAATGTTAAATCTTTTATTATCATCTAGTGAGTCCCGGAGACTCTGTTTTATTATTTTTTTTCCGGTCTGTTTTTTCTCTGTTGCTCAGTGTAGGTAATTTCTGTTGTTTTATCTTCAGGATAACTGGTTATTTTCTCTTTCCTTTCCATTCTGCTCGTGAACCATCCATGCAGTACTTTAACTGTGGCTATCATCATATATTTTAATTAAAATTTCCATTTGATTTCTTTTTTATATCTCCTATTTCTTTGCTGAGGTTTTCTATTTGCTGAGACTTTTTTTTTTTGATTGCTTCAAAAGTGTTTATAATTGCTCACTGAAGCATTTTTATGATGGCTGCTTTAAAATCCTTGTCATCAGTTGGGTGTGGTGGCTCATGCCTGTAATCCCAGCACTTTGCAGGGCTGAGGCAGGAGAACTACTTCAGTTCAAGAGTTTGAGACCAGCCTGGGCAACAAAGTGAGACCTCATCCCTACAAAAAATAAAAGTAAATTTAAAAGTTAGCTAGGCATGGTGCCTATAGTCCCAGCTACATAGGAGGCTGAAGTGGGAGGATCATTTGATCATAGGAGGCTGAAGTTGCAGTGAGTCTTGTTCACACCACTCTAGCCTGGGCAGCAGAGTGAGAACTTGTCTCAAAAAAAAAAAAAAAAAAAAAAAAAAAAAATTATTGTCCTTAAGTTTCAACATCTGTGTCATCTTAGTGTTGACATCCCTTGATGTTTTTTCTCATTCAAGTTTACAATTTCCTGGTTCTTGTTATGATGAGTGACTTTGGCTGTATCCTGGACATCTTCACTGTTATGCAATGAAACTGGGACTTACTTATATCTCTCAGCATGCTTCCTCTGACGGTGCTGGTGTGCAATGGGGCACAGCCTCATTACTGCCTGGTAAGGATGGAGATCCAGGTTTCCTACTGTGGCTCTTCTCGAGACCTCCGCTGCTACTTTTCTGCTGGAATTAGGAGGAGCACCCTGATGACACCACAGCATAGGGAGAAGGCTGTGTTAGGCTGGATGGTGAAAGTTCTCAGCCTGTTATATTCGGTGAGGGTGGGGTTCTTTTCTTTCCTGTGGTATTTTGCTAGAGTAAGGTAGTTATTTCCTAGAAGTTAACTGTCTTGTTTAACTTCTTTTTTAAAATACTAACAAATACCAAGACAATGAACTTTAAGCAACAAAGGACAATCATCCTTTGGAGAGGGGAAACAAAATTATCTGTACTTAATATCTGGAGAAAGTCCATGGCTCCAGGAAGGGTTACCCCATCAGGACCTGGCTGTCTCCTGGAGTTGACGTGCAGTTGGGCAGTCGAGGTGGTTAGAGTTCCCAGGGGAGAATGCCTTTGAGGAGAGGGCTGCACTCTCTGTAGAGAGTTTCCATCAGATACTCAGTTACACACAGTGCATGCCTGTGAGGAAACTCACCCAAAAGAATAAGAGGGAACAGTGTTTAGAGCTGGAAATAGTGCCTGTTTTCAATAGCCACAGTGGGAAACTGTCACCTAAGTGGCATTGGAAGAAAACTAAGATGCTCTAGTAGTAGAAAAATTAATTCTATATAAAAACTACCCCTGGTCCCAACTCAGCTTAAAAAAAAGACCAAACGAACACATCTGTTTCCAGGTAATTTAATTGTGTTCCAGAACATAGCTCAAGAATATAGGAATACAAAAAATATACCTAATAAAATAAAATATACAATACTTGGCATCTAATAAATCACTATGCATGCAAAGAAGCATGAAAATAAAACTCATAATGAAGGGAAAAATAAGTCCATCAAAACTGACCCAGGAATCAGTAGACAACATTAAAGCAGGCATTATGACTGTATTCCATATGTTCAAAAAGCTAGAGAGAAAAACATACTAAGTAGAGGGATGGAAGATACAAAACAAATTGAACCTCTAGAGATGGAAACTATAGTATCTGATGAAAAACAGTGGTTGCAGTTAACAGCAGATTGGACATCTCAGAAGAAGATATGAAAGAATTTGAAGACAGCAACTTAAACAGGAAAAAGACTGCTGAAGAAGAGATGGTAGGAGAAATTGGGCTTCAGAGAACTATGGAACAACTTTGGGAGCCAAATATGTTTGTTACTGGAGTCCCTGGAGAAAGAAGGTATAAAAAAATATTTGAGGAAATAATGGCTGAATTGATGACAACTAGTGAGACCCAAGAAATGCAGTTAACTGTATCAGTCAAATTTCATCTAGCAATATAAGAGGAAATTTTAGAAGCGAGGAAAAGAGAGAACATAGCTTAGGAACAGAGGAAGAAAGGTAAAGACAGCAGCTTTCTTGTTGGAAATAATGCAAGGTAAGAGACGGAAACACCATTTTTAAAGTATGGAAAGAGACATTACCAACCTGGAATTCTTTGACTAGTGAAAATATCTGTTTAAAAATGGAGGATTTTCCAGACATAAAATCTGAAAGAATGTAATCAGCAGACCTGCCTTATAAGAGTTGTTAAAGGACGTTCTTCAAGCAGAAGATGGTAACAGATGGAAACCTGCTTCTATGCAGAGAAATAACACTAGAAATGATAACCAGGTAGGTTATATGCATAAAGGATTTCATATGTCCTTTTATTTAGATGTCTTTAAAACCTAATTGACTATTTAAAGCAAAAGCAATGATGTATCATGGTTTTCAACATGTAGAAGTAAAATATATAATAATAGCCCAAAGGCAGAGAGGGGAGAAATGGAAATATGTAGTTATGTGGTTCTTACATATTTGAAATGGTGTAGTATATGAAGGTGGATTGGTTTAAGTTAAAGATGTGCACTAAAAATCCACCCTAAAGGAATCACAGAAGTAACACAGTTACAGCTATTAGGCCAACAAAGAGGATAAAAATGCAATCTTAAAACTTTTTTTTTTGAGACAGAGTTTCTCTTGTCACTCAGGCTGGAGTGCAGTGGTGCAGTCTCGCTCACCACATCCTCCTCCTCCCAGATTCAAGTGATTCTCCTGCCTCAGCCTCCCGAGTAGCTGGGACTATAGGCACCCACTACCACACCTGGCTAATTTTTGTATTTTAGTAGAGACAGGGTTTCATCATGGCCAGGATGGTCTCAAACTCCTGACCTCGTGATCTGCCTGCCTCAGCTTCCCAAAGTGCTGAGATTACAGGCGATAGCCACCGTTCCTGGCCAAAACTTTCTATTAATAAGTTTTAAGATTACATTCTAAAAGAAGGCAGAAAAAGAGGGGAACAAGGAGCAGGCAAAATAAATAGAAAACAGGATGCAAGATGGTAGATACAAACCCAGTCATATTCATAATCACTTAAAGTGTAAATGGTCTGCGTTCTTTATAACCAGTTGGTTGAGGGTCATGTTGCTGTCAACGGGATCCTTACTGATGTTCCTCTTGCGAGGTCTGTCTGACAGGGGTGTTGATGTTTCTAACCTATAATAATGTCCACCCTAAAGGAATCACAGAAGTAACACAGCTACTTCTGTGATTCCTTTAGGGTGGACATTATTAGGATTCATCTGTTTCTCCTTGCAGTTCTGTCAGCTTTTGCCTCATGTATTTTTTGATGCTCTGTTGTTCATTAAAGATTGTTTTCTAACTTAGGCAACATGGTGAGACCTTGTCTCTACAGAAAATTACAAAATTAGCCAGGCATGGTGGTGTGTGCCTGTAGTCTCAGCTACAAGGAAGCTTAGGCAGGAGGATCGTTTGAGCATTGGAGGTTGAGACTGTAATGAGCCATATTTGCACCCCAAAAAACAAGGATATGTTTTCTTGGAAAATTGACTCCTTATCATCATGTAATGCCCCTATATCTTACTGATTTTCCTTGCTCTGAAGTCAGCTCTGTCTGAAATTGATAGAACTACTCCCACTTTCTCTTGATTCATGTTAGCCTGATATATCTTTTTCCAATTCCTTTACTTTTAATCTACATGCATCTTTATATTTAAAGTGGGTTTATTGTAGATAGTATGCAGTTAATTCTTTTTTTTTTCCCCCATTTATTTTATTGCATTTTAGGTTTTGGGGTACATGTGAAGGACATGCAAGATTGTTGCATAGGTACACACGTGGCAGTGTAATTTGCTGCCTTCCTCCCCATCACCTACACCTGGCATCTCTCCCCTTGCTATCTCTCCCCAGCTCCCCACTCCCCACCGTCCCTCCCCTATTTCTCCCCAACAGACCCCAGTGGGTAGTGCTCCCCTCCCTGTGTCCATGTATTCTCATTGTTCAACACCCGC